TACACAAACATATATATATATATATATATACATATATATATATATATATACATATATATATATATATATATATACAAACACAACGTTTTTATGTAAATAAGTTGCCTTGGCATAATATTTCACTTGAGATAAATTTTGTATTCTTGATGAAATGATGTAAATTAAATAATGTTTATTATACAATAATTAATTAGCTAATTAATTATAACATTGTTTAATTATATGATATATAGATTTATGTATATATTCATCAAGTCTACCTGAAAAATTACGTGTTACAGTTTACATTTATTTTTTCATAAATATGTAAATTGTTTTTGCTTAAAGTTTATTCTGAAGTGTAGTGTTACATTTGCTCAAAATTAAATATTTAAAATTTTTTCAGAACGTGTTATTTTCAATAGGAATCTAAACCAAATATGTGGTTTGTTTGCAACCAAACAAATGTGCAGTGCGTACTCTATGTTTTCTGGACGTAAAATTTTAGGAATGTCTCCGAAAACCCAGCCTAGAAAGAGAACAGGAATGCATAAGCAAAAAAGGAGTAGAGCTGAAGAAATTACTCGATGTAGCCTTAGCAGCAAAAAGTTGGGAGTCAACAATTTGGTTGTTACGCGCGCTTTGACAACTTAACCATTTTATTTCCGCTTTTTTGTACCATTTCCGTGTTGTTCATTCAACATCACTCTTCAATGAATCTTGCAAACTGTTAGGCTTTGAGATCCGTTCTGGATTTTGTAAATGATGGAGAAATGGTTAGAGAAAAACAATTCAGAAGAAGTGAACAAAAAAGCGAAAGCAGATCTAGTGCGAAAATGTTTAATCGGAATTACGAAAAACTGAGAAAGGGGACCGGGGCAATTGAGTTTAGTCGAAATATTTGCTTAGTGCTTGGGATATTCTGATAAATTTTATTATTTTCAAAATCATACGTAGTTTTCTACAATATAAAGCAAAATAGATAAGAATGTGTCAGGTTGTGAAAGCGGAATGCCCGAATGCTTTCTTTTTGTTAGCCTTTCCACTAAGCTCAAGCTAGATTGTAACCAGTTCCGGACAAACATCGACCTCGACATTTATAAAAGTACTAAGTTTCTACATCTTGTTCGTTTGATGTTTATTCGTTTGGGATAGTAATTTTTATCATAGATTATAATTTCAATGCCTGATTTATTTTAGTTAGAGAACTTACCTGTTTTGGGACAAAAATGTTCAACGCTAAACCATTTAAAATTCTCACCTGGAGATTAGTGCGAAGTTTAAAAAGGTGATAATTTCTCAGTACCATGCTTTAATATATTGAAATAAAAGTTAAAAGTTGAAACCGAAGTTACGTTGTTAAAACAAAAAATTAAACAAATTATTTAATTATGGAGGCAAACAAGCGTAGATGTCGTCAGCAGGCGTTAGCCTTGTTTTATACTTCGGAGGACCTGCTGAATACAAAATTATGTCGTACTCGTACGGCTACGAATACAAAAGAAAACATTCCGCAGCAAACAAAAAAGTTATCGGAACAGGTTAAATTTGCTACTCCACAAAAACCGGTGAAAAATAGAAAAAACTTAGTTTGGCCGACTGCCGTCTTTTCTGATTCGAAATTGAAGTCTGTTAAGAATTGTTTCGAAGCAAGTGAACCATGGTACAGATATGAAAATGACGTCATGGAAAATATGCAAGAAAATGAAAATGACGTAGTGATGAATTGCCCAGTATCAGCTGAAAAGCAATTGTTCACTGGTCCTGTAAAATCAAAAAAAAGAGGTGTCATTAACAAACGTCGCCTATTCACTTCTGACCCAAATGACTGGTTCAAACATGAACATCATGAACAAGATCTCAATGGATGCATTTTCAAAAATGTTAGTGGTCAAAAAGTTAAGATTATAAATTTTTGTCTGTTTTTAATTATATTTTATATTATTAAAACAAAATTTGTTTTCAAAATTTGAAAATAATTTTCCTAATTTAAACAAAAAGTATTTTTTGTAAAAATGATTTCAGGAGGACACGCTTGATTCAGATGTCAGTTGTGATGAAACGTTGAGAATAAATGGAATGAATGAACATACCGCAGCCAGCATGGAAGCAGAAATTCTGGCCAACAAACAGCGCATGGAGTCAGACAATTGGTTTGATTATGAGGCCAACCTGAAATGGCCATTTCATTTTCCAGTGACCAATACCGGGTCACCTGATGTTGTACTGAACAGACAGAAGAACCAAGGAACTGAAATGAAATTTCTGCTAACCTCACCAGACTTAATCTGAATCTTAATTGGACTGAATCTCAAAGTGTATATTGAAAGTGTTAATGTTTATATGACAAATTTTGCGTAGCTTATAACTTTTATGAATTATTTTTAAGGTTATATATATTTGTTGATTTCAATGTTGTGAATATAAATTTGTTTCGAATAAATTATTTATTAAAAACTCTTTAGACTGAATTGTTTTGCAAATATTGTTAAAACTTTGCTGATGGATTGTTGATTAATTTTTTTTATTAACATGACCACGTGTATAATTTTTTAAATCATATTTCTATCTATGTATAGGTGTGGTATATATATATATGTGTGTGTGTGTGTGTGTGTGTGTGTGTGTGTGTGTGTGTGTGTGTGTGTGTGTGTGTATGTGTGTTTATATAATAGTTTATATATGTTATTATGAGCGTTTTATTTATTTATATTTTTATGTATATAAAAACACTTTCGTTTTAGTGAATATATCAAGCGTATTCATTGTCAGAACATTCCCATGTTTCATAATTTTTCAATAAAATTGTTTCCAGTTCATTATTTTTAATCAAGAATTTTTTTACATCTAGTCTGCATACTTTCTGTGTTTCTACTTTCTGTTATAAATTTCAAATTAAATTTGAATAACCAGTAGTAAAATTTTAAGAAAATGGAAACGCTCCTTTAACACTGAAGTTTTTAAAATAGGTCCAGATAGTAAGCATTAATAAAAACACCTCATTAACGCCATGTAAAAAATATTTTTTACTGATTTCGAAAGACAACTTGCTTCATATGAACGATGATTTATATAATACCTATAAAGTTGCAAATTTGTCAGATTGTAATTGAGCCGCAATCCTTCCTTTAAATTACTTTGGAACAGATAAATCTATTACAAAACTTTTTTGACTCAAACGTTTTAAAGTACGTACAATGGCCACATTGCAATTATTTTTTATCAGTCATTAAGTGGTTTATTAATAGTTTATAATTTTGATAAATATTTTCGTATTGCATTTGATTAGTGTGTTGGTTCAGTGTGCTAGTTCGGATTCCAAAAGAATTCCGACTCTTTTTTAATTGAATAAAGCAGGGGCTAGCAAACTTTTTACTGTGGGGGCCGCATTGAAAACTATTTGACCTTTGAAGGGCCGCATTGGGAGCTATTAACGTTTGAAGAGCCGCACATGTATTTAAACAGCAAATTTTTTCGACCCGTTGACGTTAGTTTTTTCGATATTTGTTTATACTCTAGTTCAATCATTTATTCGTTCTTTCATTCATTCATTCATCCATCCATTCATTCATTTATTCATTCATCCATCCATCCATTCATTCATTCATCTATTCATTCACATACGACCATGTATTTATTGTCTCCTAAATTGATCCCAATCTCATCCACCGACAAAATCAAAGTAGTAGTAAAATAAAATTTCACACTGCGATCAACAACCAACCGATGATTCGAATGTTTCGGCACAACTGGCGCAATTAGCAGTTTTAATTCTAAACAAATTTCTATACAGCAGATTTTGGTTTTTGTTTCAAACCGGTATTCACGTGAATAGTTGCTTCGCTTCAATTTAAATTACTGTCCATGTTTATGAAACGTATTAAACTTGAAAAATTAATTTTTGATTTGGATTTAAATAAAAAAAATGTTATGTCATAAATAAAAAATTTAAATAAAAAGCTCATTAAAGTTAATGACAGTATCATTTTTGACAAATTAAATTTAACCCTTAAATGCATGACATATTTGATAGACACTATTACATAACATGGATCAATGATGATATTAGACTACCATAAAACAAAAGCGGCTGTTGATCGAGTTGATCAACTATGTCACAATTACAGCGTTCAGAAAAAAAAATTATTGAAAAATAAAGAGAGAATAAATTACAATGTTGACCGGTACAAAAAATAACAAAAACGACCAACGCGCAATGGAAATAACGTGCAATGCATGCATGCATGTATGTTTATGTGCTCGTATCATGCATCATGTTTGTATATATGTTCGTATCATTCATGCATGTATGTTTATGTGTTCGTATCATAGCACCATGTTTGTTTTTGTTCACCGCATGGGCGTGTGCAAACAAACAAAAACAAACTCGTAACATAAAAGAGAGAAATAAAATTCGAAGTTAAGATACCAACCTATGATCAATCAATTTTTTTCTAAACTTTTACTTAACTTTAGCCAAGGCTCACCTATTTTATTCCTACCAAACTAATAAAAAGTTAGGAAGCAAGAAAAGATGAATACAAGAAATATAACTGGTAATAAATGCTCATTTGTATCGGACCTATGTATGTGAGCATGTATGTATGTATGCAATTATGGATTTGTATGTTTATGCGTGTATTGTGTTGTACTGTTGTTTGTATGTTTGTGTATGTTATATTTGCATGTGCATACGTACAGATGTTAATGTAACCTATGTTTGGGAGTATTTGCGCTAAAAAACGCAACCAAGAAAAAGATAGAGAATTGCATTTTTAAGAAAACAAACAAGTGAAGAAGAAGCACTTATTTGAACGGCATTTAGTGAGAATCCCCCTCGCCACGTCAAGGCAGCCGTTCATGAGGGGGATAATAATAAAACGATAGTCTAGAAATAATAAGTAACGAATGTCTAGTAATAATAAATAACTTAACTAAAGTAAATTATAACGAAACTTAACTAAAATATGTGTTGATTGTCGTGTTTTATTGCTGTTGTTGGTGTTATGTTGAACGAAAAACAAACAAAACAATGCAATACAAATAAACTAGAAAGTAAGAATGAAGGAATAGTCCCT